GAGGACCTTTATTACCGTAACTGCTAGGCTCCACTTGGGCTTCATTAGCAAACAGTCTTTCTTCTGAAGAGAGTAGAGAGGAAAAGAAATCTCCATTCCCTCTTTACAGACACAGCTTTCATCTAGTTGGTGCTCAAAACAGCTCATGTCCTAAAACCCCTTAAAAGTTAAGTTGCAAGAAAACATGAGATGAGGTATTTACAGAAAAGCTATGCAAAATATTTCTGGTGTTATTACATTTTTAGTGCGAAGCATTCATGAATTTTTTTTTTTGCACATCAAATCTCTTCATGGAATTATTCAGACACACTATGAGTACCTAGCTGTTTGTTGTCATTCAGTTTACATGCATTATGCATGTCCAGGAATAACAGGATATTTTACTCAAGCTCCAATCTCTACATTGTTTGCCATAAAACTTAGCCCCCACTCTTACTCAAAATATTATTTTGTCAAGAGTTCAGTAACAAAAGCTCTTTGTTTTTGTTTTTAACCGTGATAACTCAGGGACAGCAGGGAAGACCTATCTATTTAGGATATGTATGTAGAGCCAATTCTTAACACATTTCGCCCCAATGTACTTCACAAAACAAAACAAACAGAAAGCAATCAATTTATGCAATCAAAGAGATAGAGTCTATTGCATTCCAAATTCATTCTACTTATCAAACAATGCAGTCAAACTTAGTATGTTGTCCGATTAGATGATAAGGTTTTCTTGGATTAAAGATTAGACTTGCAGGACTCACTCCTCCTGGATGAGAAGCTAGTGACAGTGGACTGCTGGTGTGGACTGTGCCGTTGGCTTGCAACAATCATTTACACTAGCATGTAAACTCTATTTGCTATGTGTAAATACGTACAGTTCACCTGTGTGTAAAAACGGCTTAAATATGTAGGAAATCTCTTCTGTCACACTGAAGCAACAGGCTGAAGATGTGATGTTTAAAGGCTGGATTGATTTCTTAAAGAGTCCTTTATTTTCTGTGGTGAGAGTCTTGATGAGCCTGGGATGGGATGTCGATGAAGGAGAGCCGTTTGTTCACTGATTCAAAGGTCTCTGGCTTCTAACCATGAATGAAACCAACCCTCTGAATGAGTGTATTGATCCTGCTTGCTTCCCTGGCACTGATGTTGCACCCCTACCCATCCAACACCACCCTGTGAGATGCCACCTGCAACCTCAATAAACTGGGTTTTCCACTAGATGTTCCTTTTATACTTCTTTGCTTGAAGAACACGAAAGCCTTAAAAGTGTCACATTGAAATTCAACACTCCCATATTCCATTATGCTTACTTATGAAAATTGTGATGTTGAGTATATAAAGTTCTTATATAGTACAGAATTAATAATGCTGTACATTCTATTTCTGAATATCTTATATTTTTATTTTCTCTTTCCTTTTATGTTTTGTTTTAAATCTTGATACTTTTAAGCCTGTGCTGTCTGGCAAGGGAAAAAAAAACATAATTTGTGTTGTTCAAAATATTTATTATTGCACGTTATTCTATTTCAGAAAAAATAAAATTACCGAAAAGAATTGCACATAATGAGTGACTAACACTATTACTGATAGCAGTTCTTTTTCAGTGTAAGTGAAGGATGTACATAGCTCCTTTAGAGTGGACCTGTTGACTGTAGGTTCACTCTTGTCCTACTTTTGTCCGTTTTGGGATGATGGACTAAATCAGAATGAGAAACATATCAAATATGGTGTTCATATATAAAGAATTTGACTGAGGGGAGAAGTAGTTACTTCTACTCACATTTACTGGAGTCAATTTTGAAAAAAAAAAGGTATTTTTAGGAGTAATTTTACTGCTCCAAACTTTTTACTTTTACCTAAGTAATATTATTTTGGAGTATCCGTGTTATTACTTGAATACGTTTGCCTGCTTTACCCCCTTTGACTAAAACTTCGTTTTGTATACACTCTGTGTATACAAAACGAAATTTCATTTTGTACAGCTTACATGACATTTCCTTTTCTTAAAGTGCAGAAATGATCAAATGTAAACAGTGTAGGAGAAAAAAAAACATGTTGCAGATGGACTGGTCCTGGGCCCCTATGGTCCCTCTACTAGAGGGATAAAACCAAATAGTTTTCTAATGATGATATGTAGAAGCACAGAAACTGTGCCTAACTGTCCCCTTTGACTTTCAAATTTACTTGAACATCGATTTTAAAATTAAGATGTTGAGATGGGATTAGAGTCTTTACCTGCTGATTTTGCAACCTTCAGCTACAGAGCTGCAAGAGGCTCTTCTTAAAATTAGACAAACCTTATTGTCATGTTGTATGCAAAATGTGTATGCAAAGCGAGATTTCATTGCACACAGCTTACAACAGTGAATGAGCAGTTTACACAGTGAAATGAACATTACCACTGGTAAAGTGACATAGTCATTGAGAATGTAACCAGTGTAGGAGAAAAGGAAACCAGTTTAAAAGTAATGGTGCAAAAGGCATTAATAGGGAAAGGTTGGGTGCAGTGCAAAAAAAATATGGTGCAAAAGGCAATAGACATTGAGCTGTGTTCTATTTAAAGGGATGATAAAAAATCAGCCATGTTGGTAATGTTGCAAATGTCATTTAATATATATTAAGAGGTAAAATATTGACCTTTTTTGTATTATTTATTTCATACTGTACAGTGTTTACTGTTTAATCTGTGGCAGTTGTTTTTTGCACAAAGAGTCACAATGTACCTTCCTTTAAGAAAACCTGCTGTTCACCTTCTGTCCATAAAGTGAGAGGGTCTTCAAAGGTGTAGCTACCCTTCTCCTGGCCCGACACCTGAATAAGTCCAGAATGGAGGGACAGTCTTGATGTCCCTTTCTGATGAGAAGTTTGTTTTTCAGTCTAGAACTGTCCTGTCTTGTGACTGAGTCAAACCACACATCGATGTATGTGCAAAAGGACAAACTGAATAATAGCTGTTAAAAGCTGAGCATTAGGTCCTGTGGAAGGTTGTATTTTAGGAGTTGCGGCAGGAAACATGGCCTCCTGCGGTCTTCTTCAAAACAATGTTTATTTGTGACGGCCTTCTTAGTTCCTGAGAAAACATGTTTCATAACCACGGAGAATTAGCACAGAGAATATAGGAGGTGCACTCCAGTAATCCATCATCATAGCCAGGTTAAGCCCCAGGTGGTCCGAACCACACTAACTGACCACCTGATCCACCTCCTTTCTCTACCCTGACTCATGGATCAAACCAATTACAGGGGTGGTATCTGCAGACTTCAAGAGTTTCAGGACAGCTACTTGTGCTTATGGTTCCTGTGAAGGAGCAGATCCTCTCCATTCTCACCTGCTGCTGCAGTTCAGTAGGAAGCTGGAGATTCACTGCTGGAGAACAACTCTGAACGCTGGGAAAGCTGGTAGATAATTTGGCGAGTTAAGCCAAGGTGAAGACAACAAAGAGGATCCTGGTGTACTCCACTGGATAGTTAAGATAGTTCAGGATGAATCCTCCAATGCTCCAATACCAATTAGTTACTCAAGCGCAGGCGTAACCAACTTTGGCCTGACAAGGACAGTCCCCAGCAATTATTTCTGCTTAACTCCTCCCTTTCTGCTCTTTTACTTTAGCCAAAAGTCAGAATTCTGAGATTTAAGACAGAATTCTGAGATTGAAGTCAGAATTCTGAGGAAAAAAAAGCCAGAATTCTGAGGAAAAAAGTCAGAATTCTGAAATTAAAGTCAAAATTCCGAGAAACACGTCAGAATTCCGAGATTAAAGTCAGATTGCTGAGAAAAAAGTCAGAATTCTGAGATTAAAGTCAGTATTCTGAGATTAAAGTCAGAATTCCAAGATTAAAGTCAGTATTCTGAGAAAAAATTCAGAATTCTGAGATAAGTCAGAATTCTGAGATTAAAGTCAGAATTCTGAGAAAAAAGTCAGAATTCCGAGATTAAAGTCAGAATTCTGAGGAAAAAAGTCAGAATTCTGAGATTAAAGTCAGAATTCCGAGAAACCCATCAGAATACCGAGATTAAAGTCAGAATGCTGAGAAAAAAGTCAGAATTCTGAGATTAAAGTCAGAATTCCGAGAAACCCATCAGATTTCCAAAATTAAAGTCAGAAAGCTGAGAAAAAAGTCAGAATTCTGAGATTAAAGTCAGAATTCCGAGAAACCCATCAGATTTCCAAAATTAAAGTCAGAAAGCTGAGGAAAAAGTCAGAATTCCGAGATTGAAGTCAGAATTCCGAGATTG